CATTGCATCCACTGATTGCATATGTGCATGGAATAACACATGCTAACTACCAAGCAATCACAGCATACATCGGAAAATTATTTTTCGCTATAGGATTGGAAAAACACGTGCGGCAATACATCAGACAGTGTCTGACATGCTCCAGGTGCAATCCAGCGGTAAATCCACCGCGTCACGAGCATCTTCCTTTACCAGACGGACCTTTTCAGCAGTTACAGATAGACTTTACACACATGCCCAAGTGTAAAGGGTTTGCTTACTTGTAGGTAATTGTTGATCGTTTTTCCAAATGGCCAGAGGCATTCCCAACAAAGAAGGAAAATGCACAAACTGTCAAAAAATGTTTAATGGAACATATCATTCCATGATATTGTCCGATAAGCCGACACACCCTTTCCAACCTGGGGACAGGGTGCTGGTGCAGAGTTTGAAGCCAACGGCAACAGAACCACGCTACGGAGAGCCGGTCGAAGTGTTGCTAGTGACCAGAACGGCAGTAAAAGTGAAACGCGAGCAGAATCAAGGCAGCGCCAATAGAAACAACAGACGACCAGTCAAGTTGAAGCATCCATTACAAGTCCCACATTTTTTTTTAGATGTGTTTTGTGAATGTTTATTGGACTAATGGGAATTTTGATAGTCTACAAGGGTACGATTCAAGAGACATGGGACAATCAGACAGGAACTGACATGGACCTAATGATTAGACGTCGAAATAGCAGACAAATCAAGTAGAAATGATTACTTTAGAAGACTTGGCTGATCAAGTAACTCAATCATTCTTTTTGTTGTCTCAGTCGATCGAGGAGGGGCAAACGAGCAGCGGAACCACTAGTCGAGTAACGAGGGATTTACGCCATGTTCCGGTGAACCATAAAGAGTTTTTTTGTCTTTATTATCCACTAATGACAAATGCGACGCGACCTTTTTGCGTGAGTAAGGTCAACTTCACTGACATGAATACTGGTAGAATATTTGTACATGCTGAATACGAGTCCACAACGGATGAACACATTGTATTATGGGCAAATGTTTTACATAGGATAACTGACTTACCAACAACAGAATTTTGCAACAAATTATGGGAATCTCTTTTACCTGGTTTGAATGTACAAGTTCATCAGGATAGCATAAATCAGTTTCAAGCAAAACAGTTCACAGGCAAAGAAACATATGCGCCATTGATCCGTGTGCAAGCCACACCATGGTATGAAGTGCGTTATCAGTTGGGTAACTCAGAATTATGTACGAAAGCTCCTGTCATAGAATTCATATCAAACAGTGCCACATTTCCTGCCATAGAAAATGTAGTTTGGAATTGTGGTTCATTCATTTACACACAATGAATGAACCACTGTCTCTGCTTGGCAGAGACAGTGTTCACTTTACTGGTTACTGGCTGATTAAGCCAGTTCTCCTACACCGGTGGATAGTAATGTTAAACCCAATAGCAGTCCAAATGAATCTGCTAATGTTTTAAAACCTGCAATCAATGCAGGAAATACGGTAAACCTCGAAACGGTGGATCAAAAAGACACAGAAACAGAAGTCATGCCCACTGCAGACATGAGTGCACCAGAAATAGATTTGATAGACAATAGTGCCGATACTATAGACGAACCAAGTAAACTATACCTTGGGCAAAGTACCAATCATCCTTTCTATTCCAATACATGGTATCAGAACATGGAAGAAAAGGTACGCAAAATAACCATCAATCTTGTTTTGCGTGCTCCATGTTGCCACAATCATCTGAAGTGACATTCCCATATATGGCTCAGCGACTTACAGGTGGACCCATAGGGACTAGGTATGCACCGATCCGATACTGGTATCAATATCGCCGCCGATACCAGAAAAAATACTGGATCGGATATCTGCGTAGAAAGAGGCGCCGTGCTGCCGATCCATTCAGGAAAGAATCAGCGTTGTTCACGCGGCGGTAAACTAGCGAAATACAACACGACTAAGCACCACGAGAAACAGCACGGGGAGTTTTTGCATCGAAAGGAGATTAGTGAAAACAACGAGACACAGATGACACTGACGCAGCGTCACAAAAAGCTTTTCAGCAACAACCCGAAAGTGTTGGAGTTAATCAGTTTGGGCTCGCAGCCCCATAGACCATTTGGAACCCAGGTACATGCCGTCGCCAAATACATATCTGAAATCCAGTTAAAACTACAGTACTATTATTTATTTACATTTTCATGCAGCGTGTTTTGTTTGTTGTAAGTGTTTATTTATTCAAACACAGTTAATATAAGTACATTTATATTCAATAAATGTATAAGGTATAATACAGTGTTGGAATGTTTAATGTGAACATTGAGCAGCTCTTTATAGTTGCAATATTGCACATTTATGTTGAATCCATTTTTATCTGGAAAGTTTAGCGCTTTAGTTCATCCACTGCTTTTGCAGTTACTTGAACAAAGAGTTCAATTATTAAATACATTTTAGCATGATCATTTCCGGTATCGGTCAATATCGGTATCGGTAGAAACCCATACCTCTGGTATCGGTATCGGTATCGGTAGTAAAAAAGCTGGATTGGTGCATTTCTAGTTCCTACACTATGTACATTGGTGTTTCAATATGCTTTACAAACAAATCCGGAGATACAAATGCCAGATAAAGAATCAGTAAGGGTAAATAGTTTGGTGACATCTTTGATTGACATCAAATTTAACAGACAAAATGTTTTATCTCAACAAAGCAAGCACTATGCAATTTACACTAATAAAACACAGCTAGACTTAAGAAAAACTGTCATCAATAAGGTTTACAAGACAAAACTCAATTTACCTAGTACGTATCCTTGTAGCAATAGTTGCTTCACATTTTATAGAAAACATCTCTTTACTATTCCTATCGAGTTAAATCTTAAACAATTGCAAATATCAGCCACCATTAATAACTCAGCTATCTTTGATTTCTGCATTAACTCAAGTCTTTCGGTAACAGATACAACTACACTAAATATTGGAAAATTGAGGCGTCAACAGTGCAAACAAATTGGTACTCTTAATGGTGATTTTGCTATTTTGTCCAAAAAAGGCATGAGGCGTACTCCACATTTTTATTGGTGGTAGAAACATTTGGGTCACTCTCCCACACAAGTGGACTGGTCTTTGTGGTGTTTGCACAATGAATGAACTCACTTATGTCTTACAGCCTTCAGGGACATCGCAGTCACCAAAAGCAAGGCGTAGCAGAAGGGGGGGCTGAAGAATTTATACCCTTCATGCATTTATTAGGGCCAAAAGACCCAAAATCTCTAGCAGGAAAGTTTTACAATTTGCCTGAAGAATTTAGACCATTCACAAGTACACTAATGTTTTTAAAGTCTTGGTTTGCAAGCACGAGCTTGATGACAATCACTACCTCCTGACGATAACTCGGTATGATTATCAAATGAGACAATTAGGGGTTTTCGACCCATTAATACTGAATTAATGTCGATCAAACAATTTGTTTATCATAATCGCATTGCACTTGATTATTTGACAGGTCAAGTAGGCGGAGTTTGCAGTCTGATGGTTGACAGCTGCTGTACGTATTTGCCGTCTAACAGTGAAGGTACAGGAAATCTAACATTAGCAATTACAAATTTGCAGGCGTTTAACCAGGATGTTATACAGACGCATTTGGATGCAAGAGAAGCCAGCGAGTTTTCCTTTCCCGGGTTAGATGCAATACTCGACTTCCTTAAGGAAAACTCTCTTTTTGGATGGTTCGCTGGAATTTTGACTCCCATCTTTATAATTCTACTAGTTGTCTGTCTGGTTTTTTGTTGTTGTTTGCCCATGATTAGAAATTATATACTAAAATCGATCAATGCATCCTTTCCAATGATAACTGATACTCATAGGCTGCCTACATGTACTCCACATACTGCTCCTGATGCTACCTCTGTTTCTAGTGACTCTTCCAATTCTAGTGGACTGAGCTTCACGAAACATCAGAATGTGAACGTTGGATCACTATTAATGGGACCTGAACATCAGAGGCGAGCACGGCTCCATGACCGGACAGAAAAAGGGGGGGATGTGGAAGCAGAGACGTAAAAAACGGACAATGAAGGACAGCAATCGAGTCAAAGAACACGGGATCGTGAGATTTGACACAAAAAGAAGTACCAGACCGAAGAAAAGGCAAAAGGGCGAGAAGTCTGACGACAAAACGCCATCATACAGGAAATGTTTCATGATATTAATGACATTATCCAAGTGCAAACTATAAGAATTATGGATGCTACTTCTGTTTTTTTCTGTTTGTGTTTTAGATAAAAGAGCTGGAAATGGCATCTCTGCAAGATGGAGAAATGTAAAGGCAACAAACCAGAGCACCGGAATCAAGCCATTTCAAATTCAAGCTGTTACTTCAGCCACCACCTTGTAACCAAGTACATCAGACGAGATAGAGATGTTGGAATAAAGTGTGTCAAAGACATGGTCAGGGTGGTTGTTACATAGGTGTTGCAGTTTCCTCCATGTTGCAGTAGAATTCTAAGTTTTAGTTTGACATTTTTATTTTTATTTGGGCAAAAGGCCATGTTTAGAATAGAAGTTGATGTTGAGTTTTGAAGAGTGAATTACGTATGGCATTACTGCAATAACAATCCTATGTGTGTCTTACAGTCATCTAAATATACCAAGTGCTGGATGATGCTAAGAACAGCCACATGTGGGGTGCACGGGTTGATGGGACTCGATTTTACCACCTTGAAAGAAAGAAGGAATCTTTGAACGACTGTTCACCCCGGTGGACGTTTTTCGTCCCATACACAAATGATTCATGTTGTAGAAAAGAACAAAAAATGCCACTTTGTTGCTATGTTGGAAAAAAAAAAAAAAAAAAAAAAAAAAAAGTTGACTTCCGGGTGACGTCATGAGAGGTGATGCAGCTTGAAATCTGGGCTTAAAATAGAGTCCCCTAAAACTAGCCAAGAATTTGCAAACAAGCGCACTTTTTGTGCCTAATAGTTGTGCCAAGACATGTTTGGCCCGCGTAAAGAAACTAGGTCAACCAAAAAGGACGATAAACGGGAACAACTCGAGGAAGCAATTGTGGACGCCAGTGAACCCGACGGTAGCATGGCATCTGTGTTAGCAGAGCTAAAGAGCTTCAGAAAAGAGTATACGGATGCCTCTAACGATACCAAGGCTACTTTTGTCCGTGTTGAAAACACCCTGAAAGAAGTGGTCGAACAGTCGGCCAAACTCGAACAGCAGATGACTGATATTAAGGAGAGAGTGAGTGACAACGAGGACAAGCTTCAGCGCCATGACAGAGCTATACGCTACATGCTACAACGAGAAGCTAAACTTTCAGCTAAGTGCGAGGACCTCGAATCCAGATCCAGGCGCAACAACCTTCGCATATTCGGGGTGCGCGAGGGTGAAGAGAAAAACGACATGATACGCTTAATCTCAGGTATGATTCGCAACACACTGAAACTACCAGAAGATTTGGATCTTGGCGTGGAGAGGGCGCACTGCTCGCTAACTATGAAACCGAGAGAAGACGCGTCACCACGGTCTATTATCGTCAGATTCTTAGACTACAGAGTGAAAGACCGAGTTCTACAAGAAGCGTGGAAAACCCGCGGGATCACATATCAGGACCAGAAGGTGTTCTTTGACCAGGATTACACCGCTGATATTCAAAAGAAACGCAAACAAGTGAGAGAGGTGATTAAACAACTTAAAGAGAGGAAGATGAAAGCTGTCTCTCCGTTTCCTGCGCAGCTGAAAATCCATATGGATTCAGGTGTGAAGACGTTCTCTACACTCGCACAGGCAGCACCAACCCTGAAGCAGATGGGAATAAAGATGAACATAAGTGAGAGAGAGATTCGTCGGGAAGACCTACTTCACAACAACACATGGACCACGAGATCAAAGAATGCTGGAGACACGGCGGGAACTGCTTCTGCGAGACGACGTGTAGCTGATATTTTCCTGGAATTGACTGGTAACTATCAAAACCAAGGGTACACACGGCTAGTGACAAAATTTATGTTGTTTTTTTTTTTTGAACAATATTTTTTATTGCATTTTTAAACATAATCCCTACAATCACACAGACATAGAGAAAAAACAAAATAAAAAATAAAACAAAACCAGGCAGTCCCTAAGAATAGTAAAGGATGCAGAAACAGAAAAGGGTTATGAATATGTATATACACACACGTGTTTTGTATATGTATGTATATACACACACACACACCCACCCACCAATGAAAGTAGAAAAAGAATAAATAAAAAAAAAAAAAAAAAAAAAAAAAAAAAAAATTATGTTTATAACAATAAGTTCAAGGGACTTTATCCTGCCCAGGGGAAGGTAGGATGACTTTCATGTTGAGTTATATATTTTTTTTTTTTTTAGTTTTTGCAGAGGCAACTTTACATGCGGCCTTGTGCGGTGGGACTGTTGCCACTACACCACTGGGTGTACCAGACGGAGGAGTTTCGTCACGCCCCTCCGTCACCATAGCGACCGATTTTGAGGAAGCTCGTTTGGAATGTTCAAACTTTGGAAGTTGGTTTATCTTGTTCATAATGTATTTTCTAATTGGTGTAAAAGGTACGTTTCTGAAATACAAAAAGTGCAATTACAGAGAGATGGGTGCATGTTCTATAATACTGTATTTAAGTAAATTTAAAAATGCCTCTTAACTCTATGAGGAGTCTAAAAATTGTCACATATAATGTCCATGGCTTGAATCATCCCATAAAGAGGAAAAAGATATTAAGTCAATTAAAAAAGATGCAATGTTCTATTGCCCTGTTACAAGAAACCCATTTGAATGATGTGGAACATAAAAAACTAAAAAGAGAATGGGTAAACCAAGCATACAGTTCATCATTTGGGAAAAGAAGAGGTGTGGCTATTCTAATAAGCAGATCCCTAGCATTCTCTGCTGACAATGTAATACAAGATAAACTCGGGAGATATGTTATGATGGTAGGACGAGTAGGGGATGAGGAATTGTCCATTATGAATCTGTATGCTCCGAATGAATATAATGTATCAAGGACATAGCAAATGTTATAGCAGAGAAGGCTAAGGGAATTGTGATAATTGGAGGAGATTTCAATGCTGTCCAAGATGGCAAACTTGATGGAACACCAGCAGAAATAGGTCTGGAAACTATAAAAACCAAAATGCTCATTAATATGATCACCGAACTCGGCCTGGGAGACCCATGGAGAAACAAAAATCCAAGCATGAAAGATTATACGTTCTTCTCGAATGTTCATAAAAGCTATTCGAGAATAGATTTCTTTTGTGTGTCAAAACAACATATGCACAAAATAACGGATTGCAATATTGAAACAATAACACTGAGTGACCATGCCCCAGTAATTATGCATTTGGATTTATGTAAAGATAGTTTTTTCAAATATTGGAGATTAAACGTATCATTACTAACTAATAAAGAGGTAATCCAGGAACTAAAAAAATCATTGAAAGATTATTTGGAGGCTAATGGTACTGGAGAGGTTTCTCCCTCAATTTTGTGGAGTGGAGCCAAAGCTGTAATAAGGGGGAAAATGATTCAAATATCATCCCGATTAAAGAGAACCAGAATAAAACAACAGTCCATTTTGGAAACAAAAAATAAAGCTCTTAGAGGCTGAACATAAAAATACAGGTGAAAATAATACATTGAAACTAAAAGAAGCCAGAAGACAACTAGATACAATTCTTACGTACAAAGCCGAAGGGACTCTTAGATTTTCAAGACAGCGATATTATGAGATGGGTAATAGAGCTAGTCGTCTTCTGGCTTTTCAACTTCGTAAAGCACAGACTGACAGGATGATTCCTAAAATAACTAATCCCACAAACAAAGCAATTTTTCATCGTCCTAAGGAAATAGCCAATACATTTGCATCATTTTATAAGAAACTTTATAAAGAGCCAAATGGGATGAATGATGAGCTCCAGCAAGAAAGTAAATTATTTCTAAATCACCTAAATTTACCTACATTATCTGTAGAAGAATCCTCCGATATGGTTTCAAACATAACAGAATCTGAACCTAGGGAGACAATTAAAAAGTTAAAAAATAATAAATAAAGAGTTTTATAAGTGCTTTGTGGATGAGCTAGCTCCATTATTGACCAGAGTATTCAACTATGCTCTCACAAAGGGTGACATGCCAGACTCATGGTCTGAAGCCATCATTTCGGTCATTCATAAGGAAGGAAAGGATCCTGTGCTTTGTGAAGGATACAGACCAATACGTCTATTATGTAACGATTTAAAATTATTAACAAATATATTAGCTAAACAATATACAATATAGCTAAACAAAAAAATAAAAAGAAATTAATTAACCCAGATCAGACAGGATTTATCCATAATCGGCATAGCGCTAATGAGAACATTGAATGTTATGACACAACATAAAAACCACATTAATAGCTCTATGTTAATCAGTTTTGACGCACAAAAGGCATTCGATACCGTTAGTTTGAACTTTCTGTACAGTACCCTTTCAGCAATGGGTTTTCATTCACACTTTAAATTGTGATAAATAAAAATAAATAAATAAAAGTGTTCAATATTCAATGTGTCAGTAAAGTAAGTAAGTAAGTAAGTAAAGTTTATTTGTATAGCGCCTTTCACAGACCAGGGTCACAAAGCGCTTCACACATTAAAATACAAAATACACACACAAGTCAGATAAAACAAACACAGAAAACACAATTTACATTCACAGAGGCCTATGAACAATGGTGCGAGAAAGCCTGTCCAAACAAATGTGTCTTTAGTTGGGACTTAAAATCATCAACAGTCTCTACGATACGCAGAGACTGAGGAAGCTCATTCCAAAGGCGAGGAGCAACTGCCTGGAAGGATCTGTCTCCTCTGGTTTTGAAACGAGTCCGGGGGACCATCAACAGGTTCTGAGTAGAGGACCTCAGACTCCTGTTGGAGACATAAGGATGGATCAGGCCCTGGATGTATTCAGGCGCCTGACCATGAAGGGCCCTAAAAGTCAACACCAGAATTTTAAAATGTATTCTGTGTGAGACAGGGAGCCAGTGTAAGGCCTTTAAGACAGGGGTAATGTGGGCTCTCCTGTGGGTGCGGGTCAAAAGCCTTGCAGCAGAATTTTGGACGACCTGTAAACGAGCCAGGTCTTTTTTGCTAAGACATGTAAGCAGGCTGTTACAGTAGTCCAATCGCGAGGAAACAAAAGCGTGGACAATCATCTCCAGCTCCGGACCCGAGACCATTTGTCTGAGCTTAGAGATGTTGCGCAAGTGGAAATTGCAGTTTCGGGTCAGCTGTTTGGTGTGTCGTTCTAGGGACATCCCTCCATCAAAAGTGACTCCCAGGTTCCTCACACTCTTTTTTACTGAGCTACTTAGGTCACCAAGGTGCTGAGCAATAACAGAAACAATATTGTCCGGGGCTAACACTAAGGTTTCTGTTTTACTGGAGTTCAGCTGGAGGCTATTTTCACTAAGCCATATCTTTATTTTGTCCAGACAGTTAGTGAGAGCAACCAGTCTCTGGGGCTCAGAGGGCTTAAAAGAGCAGTACAGCTGCAGATCGTCAGCATACAGGTGGTAGGAGACCTCACTGAACTGCTGGATCAGCTTTTGTAGCGGGAGCAGGTACAACATAAATAAAATAGGCCCAAGAACGGAGCCTTGGGGTACACCCCACTGTAGGTCTGCGGATTCAGACACCACATTGTTTGAAGACACACAAAAGGTTCTACCTGTAAGGTATGATCTAAACCACTCTAACACAGAGCCTGACATACCAACCACATCCCGGAGTCTAGAGATCAAGGTACCATGGTCCACCGTGTCGAAGGCAGACGACAGGTCTAACAGGACCAGGACAGAACATTTACCGGAGTCAGCAGCCATCATGACGTCACTAGACACCTTCAGTAAAGTTGTTTCAGTGGAGTGGAACCTCCTGAAACCAGACTGAAAGGAGTCAAAAATATTATTAGCCTCCAAGAACGCTGATAATTGTTTGTAGGCCAGCTTCTCCAGGACTTTGGCCAAGAACGGGATCTTTGATATGGGCCTAAAGTTCTGAAGATCTGTAGGGTCCAGGCTGGGTTTCTTTAATTGGGGCTCCACAACAGCATGTTTAAGAGAGCACGGGAACACACCAGTTGAGAGCGACATGTTAACCATTTTAGTGATCGACGGACCGATAGACTCTAAAACATTAACAAACAGCCGAGCTGGGACAACATCCAGGCGACAACACGACACTTTCATACTGGTTATAGTGCATAAAATATCCTCTTTCGTGACTGACTCGAAGGACGACCAGCTCTGAAGAGGAGGGTCAACCTGAGCATGACTGAAGGAAGGAGAGGGAGGAAGATTGTCTTTGATCGCTCTAACCTTGTCAATAAAGAAACTCAGAAACTCTGTGCAACCTGCTCTGCACTGCACTGCGACAGCAGCAGCAGCAGGAGAGACAATAGAGTTTATGGTGTCAAAGAGCACCTTGGGGTTTCTCTTATTGGAGACAATCAACTGCTGAAAATATTTTGATCTGGCCTCCTCTAATTGATTGTTTAGAGAGGCGACAAGGTCCCTCAGATGCAGTCTGTGATCCTCAAGTTTGGTGGAGTCCCACAAGCGTTCAATTTTACGGCAGGATCTCCGGAGATTCACAACAGTGTCATTAATCCAGGGACAAGTCTGTTGATGCTCCGTATTAATAGTTTTAAAAGGAGCTACTTGGTCCAGGATGGATGTACAGTGATTATTAAAAGAGCACATGAGCTCATCCATTTCGGTGCAGTCATATACAACAGAGGCGTTAAAACTTTCACAGAACCTTTCTGCAGTAGAATCCGTAATAATCCTCCTCTCTACTTTAGCAGGTAGGGGGCGAGGGTCTGAGGATCCCAGCAGATCAAAAAACACACCGTAATGGTCACTTAGGTGCACATCCTCAACACTCACATTGGCCACCTGAAGGCCCAATGTAAAGACCAGATCTAATGTGTGGCCTTTCACATGAGTGGGGCCTGAGACATGCTGCGTGAAATTAAAAGCTTCCGTCATGGATACAAAATCAGCAGCTAGACCCGAAGTATCCTCAATGTGCAGGTTAAAATCCCCAAGGATTAAGACCTTCTCCAGTCTTAAAATGGACGATAAAAATTCAGTAAACTCAGCTAAGAAAGCACCAGCAGGGCCAGGGGGACGATAAATCAAAACACAATAAAATGTGTTTGTAGAGCCGATTTGCATCATGTGTGATTCAAAAGTTGTGAAGTGCTCCATACTCATCACTCTGCATGTAAACGCGTCTCTGAATACGGTCGCCAGACCACCGCCGCGGCGAGAGGGGCGGGGCGTCCCAACAGCAGAGCAATCCACTGGACAGAGTTCATTCAGGTGGATAAACTCATCCTCCCGTTGCCACGTTTCAACGAGGAAAAGGAAATGCAAGCCTTTTCTGGAGAAGAGCTCATTTATTGAGAAAGACTTATT